GTTGTTGTTGTTATGTGCTGTCGAGTCAGACCCAACTCATAGCGACCCCTCCTTGGGTTTCCAAGCCAGTATCACTACAGAAGTAGATTGTCGATCTTCCTTCCGAGGAGTGGCTGGTGGGTTTGAACCACCAGCCTTCTGGTTAGCAGTCAAGTGCCTTAGGCACTATGCTACCAGAGCTCCCAAGAAGTAAATTAGTTAAGGTCATATCAGTTGTTTATGGTAGAACTCGGATTCAAATCCAGGTCCATCTGACTCAGAAGGTCCTGATTTCTGTACTACAGCACGTACTCTTTAACATAATGACCTCTGGCTTTAGTCTGGCTTTGGTTTAGCGTTTAGTCTTTGTTTAAGCATTCCAAAACTAATTACATTAAATGTGGCAGATCCACATATACTAATTTGTACTTGGGAATATTTTAGATCATTTATAAAGATAGATGTTAGTCATCTGAAAACAATTTGCTTGGAAATGTAAAGGCATTCAAAAGCATTAACATATTTTCCTACAAGTAAAAACTGGATTAAAAATTTTTTAAAAATTACAACCCCAAAGAAATGCATAAATCTTACCACCTTCTTCAGGTTTCGTGTCTAATAGCTCATCTATAGGTCCTTTTTTTGGGGTGGGAGAGAAAACAAAATCAAATGTCAGTTTTACTTTATAAGGAGTTTGGTTCAAATTACTAACATCGAGTAGTTTTCCTTAATTGAGATTACCTGAGCACGCATTATGTGTAGCGTTTTTGTCAAAGGCAGGTAAAATACTTTTTCCGTCTTCAGCTATAAATAAAACATGTGCAAGTTGTTATGCCAGTTTGGAATGGTGTGTGTGCTCACACACTACTTCAGTGTAACACGAACGCACGGCTTCAGGAGGAGATGGCAGCCACACACTCGCACAGAGGTGTGTCCTCCAGTCACATTTTACTCCAGCAGTTGACTCTCAATGATTTTCTGCTGAATTGAACAGCCCTGAATCTTTGATTTGTTTTGTAGATAATCTAGAAAACTACACGACCCTGATCTAACACTTCCTGCGTGGCCAAATATATGACTTAGATAAATGAATATTTGATGGTGCTAAAGAACTTTAACCCTATGACCCTGGTTAAAATAAAAAGGCAACAGAACAGCCTTAATACTTGGTTCACTCAGATGTATATTAGACTCTCTGCAGGTAACAGAATAAAACACAGCTGATACTTCATTATAATGGACTCCATTCTGTGTGTATATAAAACAAGGTGATCAACATTTACAATCTCACAATAGCATGCAAATCCCATAACCAAGTGACTGTACTGCATGAGGAAAAAGAACATTTCATCCCCCTGTTTTGTTACATGTTGTATAAATATATAATTTACATATAGAACTTGAATATGAATATAATAAACTGGAGTTTTCATTTTCCCACAGAACTAAGAGTTTTCTAGCCCATTACTTTGATTCCTATCATATTAATGATTCACACTGTCGGTATTACAGCTCTGAGGAACACCAAGGCCTGGAGGGCTTGGATCAACACAGAGAACTCACACAAGGCCAATGAGACCAGGCTCTGCCTGCCTCTCCGCCTTCTTTTCCTGCCCCTTGGTCCCTCCTTCACATTCTAGAACACAGTTTCTCTGACCTCCTCCTGCTGCCTCCTGGCTCACACACAGCCTCTCCGTCCACCACCCCCACCAGCTGTCATCGGTTTTATCCTAATTCACTGCAGTCCCGTGTGTGTCGGAGTAGAATTGTGTTGCACAGGGTGTTTGCTGGCTGAGTTTTCAGAAGTAGATGACCAGGCAGTTCTTCCGAGGCACCTCTGGTCTGACCAGAATCGCCAACCCTTCAGTTAGTAGGGGAGTGCGTTAACTGTTTGCACCACCCAGGAACTCCCAACAGTTGCCGTGGAGGCTGTTTCTTTTGCTTTGGCAGGTCTTACAGTAGTAGTTCACTTCACTAGTTCCCTGATACTCTCAGATGAGGTGTTCCTGTCACACCTGCTCTTAGCTCTGCACTTCTCCCTTGTAGCTCTTGCCCAAGTTGGAGTTGTCCAATTACTTGTTAATCATTAGATAAGCATCTTCCTCTATAGTCTATAATCCCCAACATAGAAGGGCCTGAATACGTCTGCTGTGCCACTGTATGCCTAGAATGTAGTGCTAGGCCTGGCACAGAGGTGTCTCATGATGAGCATCTGGTGAACAAATGAACAAATACATGAATCAGTGAAGGCATATATGCATAAACAGATGACATGAAGTCAAGGCGTAGAGGCAAAAAAAGTTTGGGCTTTTCTGTTGGAGGGCAGAAGGGAGAAAAGCAAATGAAGGAGGAAAGTGGGAAAAGAAGAAAACAGGTGGAGCAAATGGTTCAAAAAGTAGGAAGAAGACCAGGAAGAGAGGGTGAAGGAGGAGGATGGAGCCAAAGGGAAATTCCAAGATCTGTGTTGCCACCTCTTGTCTTCCTAAAAGGTTGCCATAGCAAAGGCTAATGCAAGGCAGAGACAGAGGCAGAAATGTCTCCAGGGGGACAGACTGAGCAAAGGGTTGAGGTAATTTTAGTTCTCTTCATAACAACTTTATTTTTTTTCCTTGAGAACCCAAAAGTATTCAAATGTGAGGCTCAGCATTGATTGCATCACAGTCCAACCACAATTTTCCATACCCTTCTGCCTCTTTATAAGAAGAGAAACCAATGAGAAAACTGGCAGGAGACAAAAATCCCTGGTAAAGCCTTCATAGTACATCGTATCATGCACTAGTGCTCTAATCCCATTCCCTAACACATGAGGTTCAGTTAATCCGAGCAATCTGGTACCACTCATGACAGGGCAGCCTGAGGAGTCACCTGGCAGAAGTATCTGAGCTCAGCTCTCTCCATCGATTCCCAACAAGAGGCTAACACCCAACCTACCCCACAAATCACCTAAAATCAAACTTACCCAATATAATAATGCAATTTTATTAAAACGATCTCTATAGCCCCAAAAGGTTAGAGTTAATAATGGTAATGCCAGAATTTTTGTCATTTGTGAAAAAAAATAGCTTCCTGCCAGGTCTCCACTGTGGAGGAGGCTCTGGAGGAATGCTGCTGAGGAATACTCATGGCACCTTCTGGTTCAAAACATTCATCCTCTCTGAATAATGCTATTGGATCAGCATCGATTGTATCTGGAAGTTTAAAATTCTATTTGTAGGACGTAAACTCATATAGCCCTTTCTCAACTGGAAAAGGAGAAAAGACCTAGAAGGACCAGGCCAAAAAAGAAAATGAATTGGCTGTTGGCTATTAAGTAGAAGAAATTCTAAATAAAATAAAAACTTACTCTTAAAACTAGAGGATTCCTTGCTCTGGTTTTCATCAGCTAATGAAATTAACCTTAAAATAAAATAAAAAGACATTTAGTAATCAATTTCTGCAAATGGTGTATTTATAATACGTCAAACTTCAATATAATATCTATTAATTCACTAATAACAACAACATACACACAGATGAAAGGGCAACAAATGGTCATGTACAGGCTGTACACGTTCTGAAAAAGAAAGGGGCTCTCTTTCTCCTGTACCAAGGTTGGTTAATGGCATCTTAAGACAGGAATTTGGTCTTATCATAAGGTACATATTTTGCAAATACATAGCTGGGCAGTCAGGTATAACTAAGACAGTTACCTCTTTTAAAGACATGGTAATAAATTAATGGCCAAGCAGGTGTTCATGCCGGTTCCTGGTGTTGCAGGAGGAGACACCTCAGGAGGTTAGCTAAACTACCCAAGGCTGAGGCAGGATCAGTCTCAAACCCAGACAGATTGTCACTTACTTGACTCTTTTATAGCTTTAAGGACAGAGACATATCATTGCTCTTAGACTCGTTAGTGCCTCACCCTTAGCTGCTGCTTCTAGACAATATTCTTATCAAATTTCCATTGTCATTTAAAATAGTTACTAGGTTACTGTTTGAGTTCTTAAAAATGAAGTACTAAAATATTTGAGAAATCTGAAATTAATTAAAATTAGTCAAAAGATAATCCTATGTAGTCCCCTTCTGAGTAAAAGCTAATGCTTTATTTCGATTGCATTAACTTAATGGTGAAAAGAAGGTTCTGGGACTCACATTTGGCTTTCTTACTATACAGTGGGCTGTGGGCAGTCCCTTAACCACTCGGAGCCTCACCTCCATCATATGCAAACATACATACAATAACACCTACGTTGACTACATTGAAGGCTAACATGAGAATGAGCTGAGATAAAATACCTGGCATTGTGCCTAGCACGTGGTAGGTCCTCATGAAATGATAGCTAACATTCCTGCCACTGCCACCAATAGGTTACACTGGTTCTCCCTAAAACAGTCAATTGTCCTCAATTCAGATCACCCTCTATAGTTTTCCCGCTGTGAAAACTTATCTTTGTACTGAACTAAAGAAATGTGCTAGTAATTGCTTAAATATTAAAAAGGGCTAATATTGGCAGCATATATTTTTGTGGGGGAAAAATAGTACATTTGAATCTTTATTTAGAAACATGGAAAAAGAATACCATAAGATTATCATCTTAGCTTTTTGTGTGTGTGGAAAAGAAATAAATGGAGGTAAAGTAATTTCTTTTCTTTCCTAGGTCAGCAGATTCAACAGAAAATGACATAGAGTCACATTTAAACTTTCTTCTTGCTTTGTAAGATTAGGAACAACATGCTATGTATGTTAAGTTCATCTCAGTATTTAAAATGACTGGGGAGCTTTCTGTGTAAAGAAGCATGATATGAAGATGGAGCAGTCACTTCCTGCACTCAAAACTGACACAGAGGAGAAAAGAGAATAAGTCTGAATGTGTCAAAACCCAACTCCCAAATGTAGTGTCAATGCCAGTGAAATATACATGTAAAAAATGTTGAATGGCAAATGTTCTGTTACCACAATAATAATAAACACACTCTCACCACTTTTTCGGTAATAATGACTTAGTATTTTACGTGTTGTAAGGCAGTTTGATAGGTTTTCTCTTTCTATGAGAGAACAGCCAGGGGATTTCCTGTGTAGATCACCTTGTAGATGATGATGAGAAAAGAACCAGGTAGGATCCAGAAACCGGAGAGAGCGGGAAGCTGAGACTTAGGCCACAAGGCAGAGAGCCAAGGAGAGCTGGGCATCTTTGCCCTTTCTTGTCCCCAACAACTCCCCACAAAAGTGCTCCTTCTAAGTACCCCAGAAATGGGTCTTTTACTGGGATAAGTGAGTCACAGTTTCCCAGGAGTATGTGCTGAGCAGTTTAGGATTCAATTTGAATGCATTAACCCTGAGAAGTGAAGAAGTAAGACATTTCCCCTGTAGACACACTGAGTCCCCCAGTTGACTCAGTCAGCAAGCACTGTGCTCCCCTTACCTACGGCAAGAAGTAGTACGTGACTTTGCCAGAAGTAGTACGTGACTTACTGATTCGGCTCCTCTGCTTCTGCTTCTGAACTTTCCTGCTGGGTGATCTTTTTCCTTCCTTCTCTCTCAACAAGCTTTTTCATAGGGTCTTGTAAGCTCTTAATCACACACCAGAGATAATGGGGGGAAAAAAGATAGATATGTCAATAAAGAAATCAGCCTTAAATTAAGAGGTATTTGGAGAGTATCTTGAACCAATCAAGTGGACAAAAAGGAAATTTTAGATAGTGAAGTCACAATGTTCTCAGACACATCTAAGAAATATTAGCCTATAAAGGAAGAGTTGCTTTGCCACTGGAATGATGTTTCCCTTTTGTGACAAGTTATTCAAAAGAACGCCTTTGGCTATTGCTCACTTTATTTTCCATCTGTAGTTTACAGCTAAGATAAACGCTGTTCTGCTTGTAGCCCACACACTGACAAGTAGAAGCTTCCCCTCCCTCACAAAGATGAGACAATTTCGTTTTATTTTTAATTTTGTTTGCTATTTTGTAATCTAAAAACAGCTCTTAATAACAATAGAAAACAAAAACTTTATTTATTATTTATTTTTTTCAAAATCTTTTTTTAAAAAACCAAAAATAGTGGTTTAACATATTCTGAAAACTTAACTCCCACGAGTGGACAGAGCAGGTGCATCCAAATCTGATGTGAATCTTTTTTTTTTTTGCATATAAATTTCTTGGAGTTACTGTCCTCAAGGCTCATTAAATATTTAAGAAAATTTTTTTAAAAAGCAAGTGCCTAGAAAATGTATACCAGTGACAAAGACTCAGTAAGAAAAAGATAAATATTTCTATAATAACTGAATAATGAATTATAAAAAAGTGATCTTTATTTCTGGCCCTAATTAAAATACAGACTTATGAATACAAAAAGAAACACTTCAACATACTTATCATTTTTATGGTCCCAGAACTATTAAAATCCTAGTCCTTTTCTGGTCCTTCACCTTTCTTCTCCTCACTTCCTCTTCCCATCTTTCACTTGTCTAACACCACACATACACAGAAGAAGGCAATTAAGTTGCATCCCCTAACCTTGATTGATTAGTAGTCCTGACTGGAAGGCTGGATGAAGATGGTTCTAGGCGGTCTCTGCAGAGCAGAGCTGGGATTGATTTTGGTGTCTGCCATGGACAACAGATGGGACAGTGGTGTCCACCTTGTAACTGCCAGCTCTGTTTCATTCCCTGCATTGAATGATTTTCCTAAAACACTCAAACCAAAAAAAACCAAACTCATTGCCGTCGAGTCAGATCCATCTCATAGCAACCCCTCCTTGGTTTTCTGAGGCAGTATCACTACGGAAGTACATTGCCCAACCTTCCTTCCAAGGAGTGACTGGTGGGTTTGAACCTCCAACCTTCTGGTTAGCAGTCAAATGCCTTAGGCACTAATAAAAAAATTTTATTAGGAAGGAGAATATAACAAAGATTTTATATAATCTTGAGCTTTTTATAATGACAAAATATGTAAGTGTGCATTCATTCATCAATATTCTGATACAGGGCCAAGGTTTTCTCTTTGATTATATCTCCCATGATTGACATTTTACATCATTTTCTTGCATAAATCACATCCATTAGGCATTGTCATCATTTTTAATGACTCCCTATTTCTGGATGTTTGCATCAGTTTATTCATTCAGCAAATTGTTTTGAGCACTTACCAAGCACCAGGTGTTATTTTGGGTGTTGGAAATACATTGTTGAATAAGATAAACAGCAAACTCTGACCTAGTGATGGGTCTATGCAAAGAATTAAAATAGGAAGATAAAAAGTGATTGATCATTACTTTAGTCCACAGGGATGCTCTCTCTTTGGAAGTGATATTTTAGCTGAGAACTAAAGGACAAGAAGGATCCAGTCACGTGTGGCTCAAGAGCGAAAGCTTCAGTAGAAATAACTTGGCTTGTTTGAGGAACAAGAAGAGAGCTCCTGTGGCTGCAACGTAGCAGGCAGACTATACGCCTTAAGAGGATGAAAAGGTCAGCAAAGGTTACACAAGGAAAACACACTGTGATGATATGAAGTTATTAGAGGGGTTTTAAAACTTTTTACTTTGAAGTAATTTTAAAGTCACAGAAAAATGGCAACAATAATATAAACAACTCCCCCATATCCTTTATCCAGATTCACCAATATTTAATATTTTGCCCTATTTGCTTAATCCCATTATTTCCCTCTGTCTTTCTAATGCATGAGAAGATTGGGGACTGAAGGGAAATTGCTATAATGGACATTATTGAGACAAATGAGACAGCTAGAATATGGACTGTCGTCTAGATATTCCTTGATGGCTACATAGATCATGATTTTTGTGTACTCCAAAGCATCTGGTAAAAGCTGGGTATATGTGTGGGTGGGTGAGTTTGGGAAATGTGCAACCACACAGAGTTCATCAGATGTCACAGACTTATCCTTTCAATAGACCTGCCTATCACAGGATTTCATTTTTCTCTCCCTACCCACCCCTTTGTCTCTCTCACACTTTTCCCACCCCTCTCCTCTCTCACATACACACATATCTTCCAGCAGCTACACTCCCCGCAGAGGGCCCAGCTCTGGTCAAAGTGAAGCAGGGGTATTTTCAGCCAAGGTTCCAATGACTCCAAGGCTCACTTTTAGAATCTGCGACACCTGCCCAGGCCTCCTGGTTTACTTGATTATCCTCTCATTGTGTTCCCTTTTTATCAATTGGCACTAGGCAGGGCCATGACATGATTGTTCTCAGCAGCGTTTTGCTTGCCACAGCACTTAACTAAGCCCCCAAGATGCCCTTGACAGCTCCATGGTTATCATCCCTTCTGTCTCCAGGCTGACCTCCCCTCATAACCACACTGGGCAGCTCTCAGACAATTCCTTTGTAATGTAAACCACTCATTCCTTCTTTTCAATCCCCCCCTCCCAGTGGGCCATTAGCAGCAACTCAATTGTTGGCTCCTTGTCACCACAATCACAGTTAACAGTCACTCTTGTGCTTCAGTAATAGAATGGCTATAGTTCCAATTGCTACTTTGAGTTATTATTAATAATTCTTCTTTTTTACTTAGTAACAATTAGTGGCAATTATTCCTTTTTACTTAGTTTTACCATTACCCCTCTTAGTTCTCTAGTTCTGCTATCAGAAATAACCACAGATGGAAGGCTTTAACAAGCATAATTTATTCTCTCACAGTTTAGGAAGCTAGAAGTCTGAATTCAGAGTGCTAGCTCTAGGGGCTAGATGGAGGTCCCTGCACCCTGGGCTTCAGCTCTGCCTTCCAGGCCCACTGGAACAAGTTGGAGGCTTCTCCTGACTCATATAGCTGCTAGCTGCTGAGGCTGACGAATCCAAGATCAGCAGGTAAAGTGAGATTGTTGGCTCACAGGTTGTGAAGGCAACAATCCCAAGATGGGCAAGCAACATGGCAGGCCACGGGTTCAAGTCCAAGAATAGGAGATAAAGACTTGCAAACCAAATGAAGGATCCTTTCCATATACACTGGATGTAGGCCATACCTTGAAGGCAACTCCCTTCCAACTGATTAACTGGTCATAGCAGCTTGTACCTTGGAAGTCATTATACCATATCCAATCTAATCATGGGGACCAACTATATCCAGCTGCCAAGCCACTCAAAATCATGGTGCAGCCAAGCTGACACACAACCTTAACTACCACAGCCCCTATAACAGTTTGGTTATTGTGGCTCATTGTTGTTGTTGTTGTTGTTATGTGCCCTCGAGTCAGCCCCGACTCATAGCGACCCCTCCTTGGGTTTCCGAGGCAGTATCACTATGGAAGTAGGATTGCCCAACCTTCCTTCCCAGGAGTGGCTGCTGGGTTTGAACCGCCAGCCTTCTGGTTAGCAGTCAAGTGCTTTAGCCACTATGCTACCAGAGCTCCTTGTTAGAGGTGCTTAATGTATACTTACTGGTTGAGTAATGGATGCACATAGGTTAAACCTAAAAAATTAGACCTCTGTGACGGATTGCATTGTGTCCCCTGAAAATATGTGTTAACTTGGCTGGGCCATGATTCTGGTGGTTTGGCACAGATAATGATGTAATTACCCCCCAAGATGTGATCTAATGTGATCAGACAATGAGTTATAAAGGGATGAGTGTGGGATATAGCACCCTTAGGTCACAGTTCTGATCTGATGTAAGAGGAATTTTCCTGGGGTGTGCCCTATATCACCTTTTATCTTAAAAGAGATGAAAGGAGAGAGAAACAAGCAGAGAAGAAGGGACCTGGCTATCACTGAGAAAGGAGAACTGGAAGTGGAATACGTCCTTTAGTCCTGGGGTCCTCGTGCTGAGAACCTCCTGACTGAGGGGAAGACTGGTATCAAGACATACGGAGATCTTCGAGATGCTGGGCCCACAGATGGTGAAAGGAGACAAGGAATTTCCCCTAGAGCCAGTAGAGCAAGAGAGAGAGACTACCCCAGGAGCTGAGGCCCTGAATTTGGACTTCTAGCCTCCTCAACTGTGAGAGAATAAATTTTTCTTTGTGAAAGTCACCTACTTGCGGTGTTTCTGTTATAGCAGCACTAGATAACTAAGACAGAATTTGATACTGGGAGTGGGTGCCTCTAAGAGAGATCTAAAATGTGGAAGCTGTTTTGGGATTGGGTAATGAGTAGAGGCTAGCAGAGTTTTAAGGTTCTTAATAGTAAATAACTAAATTACCTCGAAGAGACTGTTGGTGGATTATGGGCATCAAAGGCAATTCGGGTGAAGGCTCAGAAGGAAGGGAGGAGGAGAGCTGTACCAGTGGAGATGGCACAGAGGGTAAGAAGCAGCAGCAGAGAAATGGTGGCAGCAGCACCGGGGCACTGGGCTGAGATGGCACAGGAGCCGACTCACAGAGTAGGAAAGCTGAGTGCCTTTCAGCAGGTTTCCTAGTGGAATGGGGTACCATGGAGCTAGACTTGCTGACCCATGGAGCAAGGGCAGCCCTCAGGCGGAAGTATTTCCAATCATAGGCTGATGGAAGCCATATTCAAATTCATGTGCCAGAAATGAACTCCAAAGGATTTTGTTTCTGAACCCCAAACCCACTAAGCCTTTCATTAGAGTTCCTTGTGAAACTCAGCAGTACAGCACCAT